TTGCTGTCATTGTTCATTTTAGTCAAACCATACAGTTTGAAAACGAGGCGCGGCTCCAACTAGAAAACAATGTTTTGATGCATTGGATGTGCTGAATGTGCATATTAAGGCAGTACAGGAGGAGGTGCACATTAATAATCCTCCAGGACTGTAACATGCTCATGTTTAACCCAAACAATGTGTCATGTGACTGCAGTTGCTTCACATCCAGGTCGGAACACCTTCTCACCACAAACCAACCGCACCAGAGTTCCTTTGGAACCGGACTGAGACCACCTCTTCAAGAAGGTCTCAGTCTGGTTGTTTTGGTGTGTTCACACCTGCACAAACCAACTGAACAGGACAGGTGTGAACGCAGCCTTAATAAAAACTTTATTCAGTCGTTTTTATTGAATCATCTCATTGTAGAAACATTAATATGTCAGTTTGTCACATGATCCCCAGTTTATTTTTATTCTTTTAAATATGTTTATGTTGTTGTTCATTTACACATTTTTTTATAATTCTCGTCAGACATTGTATTTTTGTCATGTTTGTAACTTCAGGTTCCTGCTGCAGGTTTCTTCTGCGTATAATGTTCAGATGTGATGCAGATAAAGAGCTTCTGTGTGTGACGGGATATTAAGTCTAAACTCGTCCTGAGGAGTCTCCTGAATAATAAAACCGCCAGACGGCAGGATTATCGTTCTGTATTGTGTGTGTGTATGTGTGTGTGTGTGCTGCAGCTGAGACTCTGAGCATGTTCATCAGATCAACTGTCACTTTAAAAGACACAAAAACAAAACACAAGTCAAAATACAAATTACAATCTGAGTTTAATTTTCGCTCACACAGTTAAAGTGCTCCAGAATCTGTTTGGATTAAAAATGAATTCACTGATTGTACGATCAACAACACAGACGCGTCCAGACGTAAGGCTTCAGTCACACTGTGATGTCATCGCAGCTCAGGAGTCAAAAGGTCAAAACTTTTTCACATGTTGATTTGTCTGAATTATAAGATGTCATTATAATTTACATATCTCATGTTTATATGCAAATATCATCTCAGAAGCCAAAAAGAAAAAACATCCCGTATCTTTAATAATGTGACACGACAGTCGTGAGCGTGACGTCTTCTCACCTGATTTAGTCAAATTACACACGTTGTAACAGCATCATCTCGTAAATATGACTCCTGTACGTCATCACTAAAACAAATACCTGATACAATATTTTCTTAAGGGCTGTGTACAGTAAATATGACGGTGATTGAACAGGATGCAACACACAAATGATGTAATGATGTAAAAACTAGCTTCCTGTCCAACGCTCTGAATGAACACTGCAGAACGTGTTGGATCATCAGACACACAGACGAGACTCAGGCACAGTTTGTTCTGACAGAACTCATGTTCTCTGTCATTAAAGGGTTTGTCCATCTTGTCTTCGTTATGTCTCAGCACAATGTCTCTGTCCTGACAGTGACTCAGTCCGAAACAGGAAACAGAATTACAGTTACTAAGAAAACATCAGTCACAGCATCAGTGACTGTTTTGTCTTTGGTGAGCGTGGAGCGACTTCTGTCGTTTTCTGTCTCTGGCATTATAAAATAATCAGTCTAGTTTCGACACACGACTCTGAGAACTGTGGGAACTTTTTATCTGATGACAACAAAAACACATGTCACAATTATGACATCATTTCCTGTGATTACAAGTCTCTGTATCATATAATCATACAACTGTTCATTATTACAGCACACAGACGTCTATTGTGACGTCAATTGTGTGTAATCGTGACTGTCCCATCTTGTATGAAATTTTCTGATCTATAAATGTGATTCATAAAAAAAGAAACAAGAATTTAATGTGATGAAACAGAGTCACAACATTTAGAAAAATCATGAGTTTGTCTATTTTTTTATTTTTAAAAAAATCTGTTTCCATCATGTTTTTGTCGCTTTTATTCCTGACCTGATAAAATTATAATTTCTGCTTCATGCATGAATCATAACTCAGAATGTTGTGACTGAAAAGACAATAAATGTTCAGATCTGTGTATTTCACTTCAGGATTTCTAGATATCATAATTCAACATATCCTTACAGAACAGTTCAAATGATATCCTACGAGTTAGCGTCCCCGCATGTCGTTACGTCCTTAATGTACAGCAACATAATTCATGTAAAGTTACGAAGGTAAGGTTTAGGAAAAGAAAAACAGTGAGGACGAATCTTGAAATTAATCAAAATTCACTCAGAGAGCACGAAGAATACAATGAACATGGTTCCAGGGGAAACTCCGCCTTCGTGACCCACCCACTTACAGACCACTCAGGAACGCCTCCTTCTTTACTCCTGTGGGCGCATTGATCCCGTGATCACAGCCTTTCAAAATATGCCAGATATGTACGAATTTGGGTGGATTACTTTTCGTAGAAAAATGTGGGAACAGTTTACGAGATCAGCCTGCATCATTATACATCGTTAGTGTTTGGTAATTACAGAATAAAATCTACTTTCAGATATTTATCGTTATTATTTCTTCCTAGTATTACTTCTACGTTTCGTATGTAAAAATCAACATTTCGTAATCATGAGAACATTTTCGTAGTCTTGTAGAGTTAGTATCTCTTAACGACAAGAAAAAATCTCTAATTATACAAGATACGATATTAGCATCTCATTATAAGAAAAAGTGTCCTCAGTATGTTTGTGCCCCCATACTGTCCTCTGTATATTTGTGTCCTCAGATTGTCCTGTAAACATGTGGACAGTCTGTGTCTCATTCCTGCAGGATGGCAGCGGTATCTCTACACCTCCTTCTCATCTTTACTGTGAAATGATGTCCGTCTCAGATTTTCCTTCACTTTGACAAACTCTGGAGCTTTCAGGTTTTCCTCCTGCAACTTCTCCTGCTGCCTGTCCCACTGTGAGAGACAAAAGATAAGGACATCATCAAGGGACGGGACGTTCAGGACATCACCAAGAGACAAAAAAGGTTCAGGACATCACCAAGAGACAATAGGTTCAGGACATCACCAAGAGACAAAAGGTTCAGGACATCACCAAGAGACAAAAGATTTGGGACATCACCAAGAGATAAAAGGTTCAGGACATCACCAGGAGACAAAAAAGGTTCAGGACATCACCAAGAGACAATAGGTTCAGGACATCACCAAGAGACAAAGGGTTCAGGACATCACAGAGAAACAACAGATTCAGGACATCACCAAGAGACAAAAGATTTGGGACATCACCAAAACACGAAAGGTTCAGGACATCACCAAAACACGAAAGGTTCAGGACATCACCAAGAGACAAAAGGTTCAGGACATCACCAGGAGAAAAAAAAGGTTCAGGACATCACCAAGAGACAAAAGATTTGGGACATCACCAAAACATGAAAGGTTCAGGACATCACCAAGAGACAACAGGTTCAGGACATCACCAGGAGAAAAAAAAAGGTTCAGGACATCACCAAGAGACAAAAGGTTCAGGACATCACCAAGAGACAATAGGTTCAGGACATCACCAAGAGACAAAAGGTTCAGGACATCACCAAGAGACAACAGGTTCAGGACATCACAGAGAAACAACAGATTCAGGGCATCACCAAGAGACAAAAGATTTGGGACATCACCAAAACACGAAAGGTTCAGGACATCACCAGGAGAAAAAAAAGGTTCAGGACATCACCAAGAGACAACAGGTTCAGGACATCACGAAGGGACAGGATGTTCAGGACATTACCAAGAGACAAAAGGTTCGGGACATCATCAAGAGAAAAAAAAGGTTCAGGACATCACCAAGAGATAAAAGATTTGGGACATCACCAAAACACGAAAGGTTCAGGACATCACCAGGAGAAAAAAAAAGGTTCAGGACATCACCAAGAGACAACAGGTTCAGGACATCACGAAGGGACAGGATGTTCAGGACATTACCAAGAGACAAAAGGTTCGGGACATCACCAAGAGACAAAGGGTTCAAGACATTACCAAGAGACAACAGGTTCAGGACATCACCAAGAGACAACAGGTTCAGGACATCACGAAGGAACAGGATGTTCAGGATATTACCAAGAGACAAAAGGTTCGGGACATCACCAAGAGACAAAGGGTTCAGGACATTACCAAGAGACAACAGGTTCAGGACATCACGAAGGGACAGGATGTTCAGGACATTACCAAGAGACAAAAGGTTCAGGACATCACCAAGAGACAACAGGCTCAGGACATCACCAAGAGATAAAAGATTAAGGACATCACAGAGAAACAACAGATTCAGGACATCACCAAGAGACAAAAGGTTCAGGACATCACGAAGGGATGGGATGTTCAGGACATTACCAAGAGACAAAAGGTTCGGGACATCACCAAGAGACAAAGGGTTCGGGACATCACCAAGAGACAAAGGGTTCAGGACATTACCAAGAGACAACAGGTTCAGGACATCACCAAGAGATAAAAGGTTCAGGACATCACCAAGAGATAAAAGGTTCAGGACAATTAAGTGAGACATAACATTGTGTTGTTGTGTTGAGTTGTTTGTTTGTTGTACTGTTGTTGTCATTATTGTTGTTGTTGTTTAGGTGTTGTTATGTTGTTGTTGTTACCTCATCCAATCTCTGGTGTCTCTTTATCAGCTCGGCCTCCAGAGGTGAGACCTTCCTGCGAGCTTCCTCTTCCTGTTTCCTCTGTTTGATCAGCTGATCCCTTTTCCTCGACTCCAGAACTCTCTGCAGCTCCGGCTTCATCTCCACACTGACTCCGCCCCTGAACACACACACACACACACACACACACACACACACACACCATTTATGCACAAGGCCGTGTGTTTGTGTGTTTCCTCCAGCAGGGGGCAGTGTGTCACATGTTTCTCCAGGAGCAGACTGAACTCTGTTTAAATCACTTCATCACATACATAGAATAGAATGGTACTTTATTGTCGTTAAACAAGTACGACGAAATTAAGACGGGCATCTCTCTCGTATACATAAAAACAGTATAAAAACAGACACGAAAAAAACACCAGTGGCTAATGAATAAATAGCAGTGGTTACTCAATAAATAGACACCAATTGCTGATAAATAGTCAGTAGATGTCAACATCAAGTCCAAGTCCTGGTACTGAGTGATAAAGTGCAATGTGCCTGTGTGTATGAGAGTCAGTGCAAGTTACTGTAGTGGGTACATGTTATTATTAGAACCAGTTGGAGTATCACAGTGTGGCTGTGCAGGTGGTTTGTCCAGGTGGTGTTGCCGTACCTCAGCAGAAGCTGTGGATACGTTTGGGTAGAAACCAGGCTGCCAGGACCAACACTGGGATTTAAATGTGGAACTACAACTTCCTGGTTCGTCCCATGACGCCAGTTTTTCTCCCAGAGCGAGCCACGCTGCCTGTGTGAGCAGCTCACCACAGGTCAGTGTGAAACATCTACAGATTCAGACGCTGAAAATTCAAAATCACGGTTTGTCTCAGAGGCTTCACAGCAGAGGACATCCCTCTGTCCCTCTGTCCCCTGTCCCTCTGTCCTCTGTCCCTCTGTCCCCTGTCCCTCTGTCCCTCTGTCCCTCTGTCCTCTGTCCCACTGTCCCACTGTCCTCTGTCCCTCTGTCCTTCTGTCCCACTGTCCTCTGTCCCTCTGTCCCACTGTCCTCTGTCACTCTGTCCCACTGTCCTCTGTCCCTCTGACCTCTGTCCTTCTGTCCTCTGTCCCTCTGTCCCACTGTCCTCTGTCCCTCTGTCCTCTGTCCCTCTGTCCTCTGTCCTCTGTCCCTGTATCCTCAGACCCTGTGTCCTCTGTCCCTCATCAGGAAGGCCCAATCAGTGATCAGCATCTTGTGTTCACAGACAACCTCTTGTTCCATTTAATAAATGTCATATTTAATAAATCTGTTCTCGAAACAGAGAGAGTAAAGTGAAGCTTCAGCATTGAGCAGAGAGAAGAAAGTGAAGCTTCAACACTGAGCAGAGAAGAAAGTGAAGCTTCAACACTGAGCAGAGAAGAAAGTGAAGCTTCAACACTGAGCAGAGAAGAAAGTGAAGCTTCAGCACTGAGCAGAGAAGAAAGTGAAGCTTCAACACTGAGCAGAGAAGAAAGTGAAGCTTCAACACTGAGCAGAGAGAAGAAAGTGAAGCTTCAGCACTGAGCAGAGAGAAGAAAGTGAAGCTTCAACACTGAGCAGAGAGAAGAAAGTGAAGCTTCAACACTGAGCAGAGAGAAGAAAGTGAAGCTTCAACACTGAGCAGAGAGAAGAAAGTGAAGCTTCAACACTGAGCAGAGAGAAGAAAGTGAAGCTTCAACACTGAGCAGAGAGAAGAAAGTGAAGCTTCAACACTGAGCAGAGAGAAGAAAGTGAAGCTTCAACACTGAGCAGAGAGAAGAAAGTGAAGCTTCAACACTGAGCAGAGAGAAGAAAGTGAAGCTTCAACACTGAGCAGAGAGAAGAAAGTGAAGCTTCAACACTGAGCAGAGAGAAGAAAGTGAAGCTTCAACACTGAGCAGAGAGAAGAAAGTGAAGCTTCAACACTGAGCAGAGAGAAGAAAGTGAAGCTTCAACACTGAGCAGAGAGAAGAAAGTGAAGCTTCAACACTGAGCAGAGAGAAGAAAGTGAAGCTTCAACACTGAGCAGAGAGAAGAAAGTGAAGCTTCAACACTGAGCAGAGAGAAGAAAGTGAAGCTTCAACACTGAGCAGAGAGAAGAAAGTGAAGCTTCAACACTGAGCAGAGAGAAGAAAGTGAAGCTTCAACACTGAGCAGAGAGAAGAAAGTGAAGCTTCAACACTGAGCAGAGAGAAGAAAGTGAAGCTTCAACACTGAGCAGAGAGAAGAAAGTGAAGCTTCAACACTGAGCAGAGAGAAGAAAGTGAAGCTTCAACACTGAGCAGAGAGAAGAAAGTGAAGCTTCAACACTGAGCAGAGAGAAGAAAGTGAAGCTTCAACACTGAGCAGAGAGAAGAAAGTGAAGCTTCAACACTGAGCAGAGAGAAGAAAGTGAAGCTTCAACACTGAGCAGAGAGAAGAAAGTGAAGCTTCAACACTGAGCAGAGAGAAGAAAGTGAAGCTTCAACACTGAGCAGAGAGAAGAAAGTGAAGCTTCAACACTGAGCAGAGAGAAGAAAGTGAAGCTTCAACACTGAGCAGAGAGAAGAAAGTGAAGCTTCAACACTGAGCAGAGAGAAGAAAGTGAAGCTTCAACACTGAGCAGAGAGAAGAAAGTGAAGCTTCAACACTGAGCAGAGAGAAGAAAGTGAAGCTTCAACACTGAGCAGAGAGAAGAAAGTGAAGCTTCAACACTGAGCAGAGAGAAGAAAGTGAAGCTTCAACACTGAGCAGAGAGAAGAAAGTGAAGCTTCAACACTGAGCAGAGAGAAGAAAGTGAAGCTTCAACACTGAGCAGAGAGAAGAAAGTGAAGCTTCAACACTGAGCAGAGAGAAGAAAGTGAAGCTTCAACACTGAGCAGAGAGAAGAAAGTGAAGCTTCAACACTGAGCAGAGAGAAGAAAGTGAAGCTTCAACACTGAGCAGAGAGAAGAAAGTGAAGCTTCAACACTGAGCAGAGAGAAGAAAGTGAAGCTTCAACACTGAGCAGAGAGAAGAAAGTGAAGCTTCAACACTGAGCAGAGAGAAGAAAGTGAAGCTTCAACACTGAGCAGAGAGAAGAAAGTGAAGCTTCAACACTGAGCAGAGAGAAGAAAGTGAAGCTTCAACACTGAGCAGAGAGAAGAAAGTGAAGCTTCAACACTGAGCAGAGAGAAGAAAGTGAAGCTTCAACACTGAGCAGAGAGAAGAAAGTGAAGCTTCAACACTGAGCAGAGAGAAGAAAGTGAAGCTTCAACACTGAGCAGAGAGAAGAAAGTGAAGCTTCAACACTGAGCAGAGAGAAGAAAGTGAAGCTTCAACACTGAGCAGAGAGAAGAAAGTGAAGCTTCAACACTGAGCAGAGAGAAGAAAGTGAAGCTTCAACACTGAGCAGAGAGAAGAAAGTGAAGCTTCAACACTGAGCAGAGAGAAGAAAGTGAAGCTTCAACACTGAGCAGAGAGAAGAAAGTGAAGCTTCAACACTGAGCAGAGAGAAGAAAGTGAAGCTTCAACACTGAGCAGAGAGAAGAAAGTGAAGCTTCAACACTGAGCAGAGAGAAGAAAGTGAAGCTTCAACACTGAGCAGAGAGAAGAAAGTGAAGCTTCAACACTGAGCAGAGAGAAGAAAGTGAAGCTTCAACACTGAGCAGAGAGAAGAAAGTGAAGCTTCAACACTGAGCAGAGAGAAGAAAGTGAAGCTTCAACACTGAGCAGAGAGAAGAAAGTGAAGCTTCAACACTGAGCAGAGAGAAGAAAGTGAAGCTTCAACACTGAGCAGAGAGAAGAAAGTGAAGCTTCAACACTGAGCAGAGAGAAGAAAGTGAAGCTTCAACACTGAGCAGAGAGAAGAAAGTGAAGCTTCAACACTGAGCAGAGAGAAGAAAGTGAAGCTTCAACACTGAGCAGAGAGAAGAAAGTGAAGCTTCAGCACTGAGCAGAGAGAAGAAAGTGAAGCTTCAACACTGAGCAGAGAGAAGAAAGTGAAGCTTCAGCACTGAGCAGAGAGAGCAAACATTTACTGTCTGTTAATTGTAAATCTGATTTCTGACATTTGCCCTCAGACACCACAGACTCTGATGTTACTACTCACTGAATACATCACATGACCGTCACACACATGTTGGAGGAGGAGACACTGATGACACGCAGGTTCAGTCCTGATCATCTTCCTCTGGTGTGTCTCAGTGCGTCGCCCAGTGTCGTGCATCTGTTGTGTAAAGTTGTGAGTTTTAGTTGATGATGTAAATGAGTGTGTGTGTGTGTGTGTGTGTGTGTGTGTGCGTCCTCCAGCTTCACTCTTCCTCCTGAATAATAAACTGAGGAGAAAAAGCCAACCTTGCTTTGCTCGCAGCATTGGAGCTGAGAGTGTGAATGCGCGACTGTGGAGGTGAAAACTTTCCCAGCGTCCTCGGCTGCAGGCCTGCGAGGTGGGAGGCTGTTGCTTAGCAGCATCTGCTCGTGTCCTCAGAAACTTCACACGATCTGAGCTTCAGAGGACAGCAGCAAGTCTGATTCTCTCCACGTAAGTAAAGACAAATACTGCTCTCTGATTGGTCAGCGTGTGTCAGTCAGACAACACTGGTTCAAGTTTGAAGTGAAACTTCACAGCGCACGTTCAGCAAAACATGAACACATGAACACATGTAGTTAAGAACATGAACCTGAAGTATTCATTCATTTATAAAGCATTTGAAACAGTTTAAAACAAAGTTCAGCTGCTACTCGTCCCCTCCTTTCTCTTAAAGTTGTCCTTATAATCTTTATTTTATTTGTCAAAGTGGACACTATTTTGTGAGATCAATATTCATGTTGTTTGACATATGAGCAGAATTATGTCTGAGAAAATCGTTATTTATTAGATTTATTATTTTATTGGTTGTTTTTTATAAGCATCTGAAATGTATAGAAATTGAAACTGTGTCCTCACATGTGCACGTAAACCAGCTCTCACACACACTCTTACCGTTTGCAGCTGCTCATCAGCTCTCGGTGAAGCTCTTGGTGACTCTTTGACGCTTTGACAGGATTCACCAGTTTCTTGGGTTTGATGAGGTCGCTGTCCTCGTCTCCCTCCAGGTAGTCGGGCTGGGGGACGTAGCCGGACACCGGGGACGGTTTCGTGTAGAGGCCATCGGACCGGTGCTGCTGCAGGTCTGCGTAAGCTGACGCTGTGGACATGAGGACACGAGGGCACAATCAGGAGGTTGCTCAGATCAAATGGATTAACGATCATTTAAACTCTGCAGAGGATGAACCCTTTAGATTTTATAGACTCCTCTGGCGCCCCCCTCAGGACAAACCTGACATCTGCTCTGAATCTTCATGGTGTTTGTTCATATTGTGGATGTAATGAACACTGCAGCCTGCAGGGGGCGCTAGCAGAAACATGCTGTCAAGTTGTTTTCAGGTTTTAGCCTGAGCTAGTGTGCATGTCTCTGTACGTCCAGCGTCTCCGTTTGTGTGCCAGAAGAAAAGACAGATTAACGGGCATCTGATCCGAGCCCTCAGATATTCTGGGAGACAGAGATCAGATGTCATACAGTCCACCTCACACAATGACCTCTTTCTCAAGTGCAACCAGAGACCAGCGTCCACCGCTGCTTCATATTTCAATATAATGAGCTATTTCAATTAAATGAGCTCCGGATGCAGCACATGGCCACAAGTATGTGGACAGCTGCAGGGACAGCATCCACTGTCCTGGTCTCAGACTGTCCTCCAGATGTTGAAACAGCTGCAGAGATCAGACTCTAAAACGTCAGTGAGGTTTAAAGTGGACGCTGCTGCTCAACAGTCCGACCTGCTCCTGTCGTCACATTTTACTGATCAGTCAATCTGCATAAAAATCATATTCTGATAATCGATTAATCGTGAGTCAGAAGCAGAACATCGGCTCGTCTTCTCAACTCAACTTTATTCATAAAGCACCTTTCATACAAACACGAAGCCCAAAGTGCTTCAAATGGAAAAACACTGCAGTGACACCTGAACATCACGTTTGACAGGACCAGAAAAAATGACAACCACAAGACAATAAAATATTAAACAAAAAAAAACAGATGATTTAAGGTCCACAGATCAGTGAATAAATACAACAGATTAAAAATGAGAGGAGAGATGAAATAAATTTAAAAATCCAAACTGTTCCCTCACATTGAATAAAGTCTTTAATTTACTTTTTAAAATCATCGTCTGGATCAGTTTGTCTGCTGACTCGCCTGCTTCTATGTTTTATATCACAGCAGTTTAAAAAATCCCATAATAACCTCTGATCAAACTGTCATTCACTGAGAGAGAACTCGACTCCTCCTCTTTTGTTCAGGACATTTGTCCAATCACAGCTCACTTCAGAGAGAGGGCATTCCTATTGGCTGTCTACAGATGCAGACGAGCGTGCACGTCCCTTCAGACAGTGACAGTCTGATTCAGGGGAGAAGAATCCTGCAGAGGAAGTTTCTGTTCCAGCAGCGACAACAACTGTTTACACTGCAGAGCAACACGAAACAGGAAGTGGGACTGATCAGAGTCCTCAATAAAACACAGCTTCATGTTTATGTAGCACAGTGTGTCCTCCGCCTCACTGCCCGCCGCTACAGACCACCTCACAGCAGCTGTGAAGACCGACCCCGAGTCGATCCAGACAGATCAACTCCGACTCAGAGGGACCGCATAGCCCCGCCCCCCCGCCAGCTCAGCAAACATTCTGTTGCTGCAACACGTCCTCACTGTGACCTTGTCACATGTCCACGTTTGGTCATGGACTTTCCACGTCCTTTTAAAAAGGTTCTATGTTTCCCGCTTGGTTGAGCAGGAAACATAGAACCTGGGAAACATAAAACCTTTTATGTGTAAGTGGGGAACATAGAACCCTTTTTGCAGGGTTGTGGGGAACATAGAACCCAGGAAACATAGATACGCTCCCGTTTCAGAGAGCACTCTGAAGGCCCCGTGTATAAAATGATTTTTGGTTGTTTCTTTTTTACTGTAGATAGTTACTAACATGAGTCATCCTCACACAATACAATACTACTGACAATCTAGTACATTACTACAGGCTTGGAGGAAGGTCTGAAGAGCTTGGGTTACAGTTAGGGCTGATGAGACCAACCCGTTCTCATTCATGCACAGGTTACTATTCACACAACCCTGGAGAGTTTTTGTATCTTTATGACTCTTGGTTTTGGGATTTTATGTCAGCACGACAGACATTCAATCAGAATCTGTTTTATTAGCCAGTGCAAGCATACAAAGAGTGTGTCTTGGTGTTTGCTCCCAAAAACACGCAACACAGAAGAATAAAGACAGAAAAAAGTAAACCAATAATAACAATAATTAAATAAGCAAAAATAATATTTAAATGATATTGAAATTTTAAAATCTATTTACAGAGTGGAATGGCAGCCTAGTAGTCCGGAAATGGTGAATAAAACATGAAATGAAATATTGGCTGTACAGAGGAAATATGGTCTGAGTTATGGACAAAGAAATGAAGTGTATGAAATATATGACGTGACAAGAGCAACAATGTGCATAAATAATTAACTGATGTATCAGTGGAAGTTGAATGCAATGCACAAACTAAGTCCAGTTTGATGAAATAATATGAAAGTGACAAGTGCAGGGATTAAATGAGGGATGTGGAATGTAAAGTCCGGTTTAAACGCGCCCCATCCGCCCACAGCACAATGCTCTTAAAGCTCTACGCTATCAAAAGCTGGCAAAATACATTTATTTTATTTCATGGCCTTGACATTAATCTGTCATATTGTTGAGTTATCAAGGACACTTCTGTGTTTTTGTGTGTGTACAGGAATGTTGAAGATATCATTGAGGAAACGAGGTTGACGTGACGTTGTTGAATCAGGGACTCCGTGTGTCCACCATGACAATGGATCATAATTGACTTTACATTGGCATTGTTTCCGTGGTACCGGCACGTACTTTTAACTCATTACGTGCCGAATGCGGTGTTAAGAGGTCGTGGTCATTTCACGTATGTCTGTGAGACCAGGTTGGACTCTGCTGACCTACACACTCTGCAGGGTATTTCAGTTCATCTTAGCTTGATAAATGATGCTTGTTTAACTGGATCTGTTGTGTGGACTCCTGCTTGTCCCATTCACTGAGCCAGTTTGTGACAAAGGTGAAGGATCAGAGATGAAGAGGCTGAAGTTCAGAGTTTACAAAAAGTAAGACACTATTAGCACTGACAGCCCGAGTCTGTGACTGTGTCTCGTACGGTCAGCTTCAGACGTGCTGTTGTAGACTTTACTCTGCGTCCTAAAACGGTGACATGATGAGGTGGAACTGAGCGTCTGACCGGTGGTGATTCAGAGAGGAGCAACACAGGAAGTCTGGACCGACTATGAGATATTATTTGGTTTGGTATCGACCTGAGACAGGATGTGCAAACTAAAGCCTCTCTGTAGTTTATCGACGTCTCTGTGAGTGCCTGTTATCTGGTTACAACACTGTCTGACTGCACCTCGGCTGGGAACACATGTGATCATGTTACACGGTAATGTCAGAACATAACGTCTCTTCTCTTTAACGCTGACAATAAAATCAGATCAGACCTGCTGTCGCAGCTCAAAGCATCTTCAACCAGAAACTGTGTGAGGCGTCACATCGTCTGTGAGGATCATTTACAGAATATAACAAGCTGTGTTCCTGATCTGCGCTCACAGCCCATAATATGAACTGTTTTAAAAGATAAATGAGGTTCAGACTTGATGGACACTTTGGTGATTGTTGTGACATTTTACAGACTTTGATGATCAGATGATCCTCATGGACGCCCTGATTTGCTCTGGATCACTGTGACGCTCTGTACGTGGGATCTCAGCTGCAGCTGGTACAGAACGCTGCTGTTACTGTGCATTCACACCAAAAGCGTCATGAGCGTCATGAGCGTCATAAGCGGCTGGCAGCCATTAATTTTCAATGTATGCTTGCTACGAAGGGCGTCTGGAGCGTCGGCGGCAGCGAGCGGCGCGTCACTGTGAAGTTGAGAGAAGCTCAACTTTATGCAAATGAGCAGCGCCGCTGCCGAAGCAGCAGCCAATTGCAGACTGGGATTCGGGTACGGAGGTCTGGGTGAAATTCACTGTGGAGTTGCCGGGTTTGCAGGACTCTGTGGACCCAGACGGCCCGACGGCTCCGGGCCCCATGTTTCCTCAGCAAATATGCCGATGCAACAAAGGAGACTTCCGAAAGTGTGATTAATGAGCTCCCGCTTATTTATCACCAATTACATTTGTCAGTGGTCCTACGCGCCAACAGGAGAGTAAAATCATAATTATAAAGGACTCATAAAGGTTATGTGACTGTGTTTATTAGCGTTATTTTAATTGTGCAATGAAAGTCATGGATAATACAAAGTGAAGACATAAATGATATTTGTTCATCCTTGTAAAGTGAACAGCTGTGTCAGCCTTGATGGACACATCTGTAGCAGCTGGCCCCACCCCTTTGACTGCTGCAAGCGCCTGCTGGAGCTGCTGCCAGGCAGCGCGATGCATTTGGTGTGAATGCACAGTTAGACTTCTAACTGGTCCGCGGAGAACAGACCACATCACAGCTGTACTGGTTACCTGACAGGTGTTGGTCTGAGTTTAAGGTGTTATCTTAAACTCAGACCAACACCTGTCTTTAAAGCCTTTCCCAGCAGCTCTCAGACTGCTCCTGGCCGTCCTGTGATCCAGACTGAGGGTGAAGGATGATGGTGCGTTCGCAGTCTTCCGCCCCAAAGCTTTGGAACAGTTTAGACGTGTTTAAATCAAAGCTGCAGCCCCACGTTTTCTGAGGCCTTTGATTGCGTGGTTAGAGCCCAGATGCAGCACCACAGACAAGATGGGCTGTTTGTAATGGCCTTTAATAAACCAGTTGCAGAGCACAGGATGAAATGATAAGTGTAACAACAAGAAAGGTCAACCTCTTGGCTGGAGGCCTCCCGAGACATGAGATGAGTCTAAAAGCTTTGGTGAGCCACGTAGAGGCAGAGGGAAGGAGAGTCTCTGACATCTGCTTGATGCACACACACCAGACAGTTCAACTGTGAGCAGAGGTACCGTGACAAAACAGGTGGGAGATGTCGTCAGGCGAGCAGAAGATCCAACACAGGTAGGAACATGTGAGGGGTGACGTACTGATGGGGAGCAGACAGTAG